TAAAAAAAAAAAAAAAAACAGCAAGTAAAAAACAATATACAATCTTTGTGAAAATCAGCCTTGGAAAAAAGAAAGTAATTGTCGTCTTTTATGTTTGTTCAGCAAAAAAGGAAATGTACTTGCCCTCTTTTCTCACTTTTAAGGGGCATCACCTTTTGGGACATGTCGATTGCAATATGAGTTTGCATTGAAAGTATGAAATTTATGTTAACATTAAACATTGACAACCATGAGTAGGACCTCACCCTCAAAACGGGTAATTAGCAAGGACAATTAGAAGGTGAAGTAATGAATAATAAGGATAATCCTTTCTAATTACATACAAAACTTTGCCTTAGCCATAATTAGTTACAGTTTACCAGTGGTGAAGTTCCGATTTCAGTTATGCAAATATATATATATATATATATATATATATATAACTATCTTTTTTAATGTTTTGCATGGAAAGTGTAAAACATTCCGGGTGAGTGTAAAAACTATTTTTTTTTTAAGATATACGAGTTCCTATACATATACTGAGACGATATTATAGATCTGAATATTTTTCTTTTTATAATGTTACAAATTATGTTATTTCCTTATTATCATTAATAGGATAACTCTTGACATTCATAGTTGTTATTATATCCATTTCGTAGATCACAGGATTCCTAATTAGTTGTAGAGAAACAATTTAAAAGTCGATTGAGTCTTGTCATGTAGCGTATTTGACTAATTGATGAATCATTAGTCGAAGAATTTACTTGGTTCACTCACACAGCCTTCCAATATTGAATGCCAAAGACAAAAAAAGTTTAAGTGATTAGACTATCAGAGACGAGTACAGTACAATTTGTATTATCTTTTAAAATAAATATACTATATATGAACAGCTTACTATATATTTTTAGCAGTGCAGTGTAGTACGGACTTTACACCAGTTGGAGTCAGTCAGAAAGTAGCCAGGGCAAACGTGGTTGTGTGGTGGCCAGGGGTAGGGTATTGTGTAAGTAAGATTAATATCTCAACTCAAAATATCTGCTGAAGAAGTTACCCCTCTCAACAATATTTTTCTATATGCATGAGAATTTATTAACTATAAGTCTACACAACACGTACACCAATTATATTATGCAACTATATTGCTACGAGTATGATCAAGTTGGAGTTATTGCAGTGTGATGCAATGCAGTTGGGGAACGATACAATAACAGTAACATGTGTATCATGCTATTGATTCGGATTGATCATCCTCCCTTTCCAGTTAGGAACTGTATGCATTGCTTGAGTTTAAAAAAAGAAACGACGTGCTTCAATTCAACCTCAAGCAACTAGCAAAGTTTCAAAAAGTTATCCACTAGTCGCAACGTCGAGGTTGCAATTAAAAATCACGACAAAACAGCAATCATCATTCATTTCCAGCTTTGGGATGAAGACACTTTTTTATTTACTCGCTGGAAAAAGAAAAAGAAAAAAAAACCAATTTCAAAACTATTGGCGGGATTCTTAGATTTTTATAAAGCAGAACTTATTTTCTATTTCCAAAAAACCTAAATATATGCTTAGTTTAACTATGTAAAAATAATCAATTTTTTTATTATATGTTTTCAGACAATTTTCGTTAATAAAAACATATTTATATTAATATATATGTTAATTTTATAAAGAGCATAAATATTCAGAAGAATATGAAGAATTAAGCAGTAACTTTTGGATTAAAATTAATAGTTGTAATTAATTTTCAAGTATAAATATCTTTATTATGAGATGATTAATATTATTATTTTTATAATTATCATTATACACCGTTGTCATTATTATCATTATCTTTGTTACAATTACTATTAATGATAATAAGAATAATGACAATAGTGATAATGGTAACTTAATTGTTAATACTACCATTACAATCATCATCATTAACGACAATAACAATAATGATATTGGTTATTATAAAACAATAGTAATGATGATGATAAAAGTGACAAGCATAATAATAACAATATTATTGCTATTATTACCACTATAATTAATATCATCATCGTTGTTACGATCACTATCAAATAATGATAAAATTATGAAATAGAAAAAGGAAATAAATTATTTTATAATTATAATTTATGTTACTATATTCTCATTTTGTTTAAAAATATTAAAAAAACTACTTATTTTTATATTTTCAATTTTGGCTTTCAATCTGAAAATATTTTATAGACAATATTTTTTAAAACTCAAACAAACATATTTTCACCACTATTTTCTATTTTTACTAAAAATAAAAACAAAAAATGGACATACCAAATCATATTCTAATTTCTCATAATTTTGATGATTCACAGTTTGAATCCAAATTTAGAGAGTTTAATGTTTAGTATCCAATCATATCTCAACAAGGTTACTTTTTAAAGAAATATAATTGTGAAAGAAAACAAATAGACATAAATGACTGAAAATGGTAAAAAAAAATATTACTTTTAAATAATAATTATATATGACAGATCTTATTTATAAGAATAAAATAATATGTTATTTATATTTTTCATATATTTTTTAAAAAATTATATCTTTTCAATGTAATTTTAAAAACCTAAGTAAACTTGATAAAAAAAATTACAATATTATATATTTTAAATATTTTTATTGAAATACATATTCCAAATATTTTTATATTTATAAAAAGATATTTTACATTTTTACTCAAGTATTAAATAAGGTTTTAATAGACTTTAAAGCAATACATTTTTACATTTATTCTCTTAATACAATTTTATATAAAATACAACTTTTTAGTAAAATAATTATTAACTAAAAAATTTGTCATTCTGGATAATCTACAGGTATATGTAAAAATGTTTTATATGATATAAAACAATTGTTTTATTAAAGGACGATAAGTAATCACATGAGAAAATAAAAATTAATTATTATGAATTATTTAAGTTTTTTTCATGCATCTATCACTATTTATTATTAAATAAATAAATAATTTTCAATAAATTATTAATTTGAATAATACTGTATTTAATTATTTTAAGAAGGATTTCAAATTTAAATTTTGTAAATGATAAAATTATAGTTGTAAGAAGAGACGACTCTACTAAAAATAATCCTTTAAATTTTCTGATAAGATTAGTTATCGATGAAAGTTATTGATATTTCAAATTAATAATATAATTAAAAATAAAAATAAGAATAAAATAAAAATATAATCAGTAGTATCCATGACCATATTGTAGAAGAGTTAGTGTTTATGACAAAACTTTCAATTATGCATTTGTCTTTTTCCTGTTAATAATTACTGTGACTTCGAAACCGTAGAAGTAGATAAGTGAAGGGTGGAGTGGATAAGGATGCGTACGTGTGTAGGACCAAATTGTTCAGACACTAGCCTCGTACGCGTAGCTGAATCGATAATGTTAAAAAAATAACATGTAACTTTCTCTGTAACACTGTCGAACTGTCATTTTCCTTACGAAATAATACTACATTCTGGACTAAACCTTTTAAATAAATAAAAAACTACATTCTGGACTAAATTTGAAACAGATTTATAACTATTTTTAGTGTTTCTTTTAATTCAAAGTTAAATTTTATTTTAATAATCTACATAATAAAATGTTGTATTCAAATTAATACAGATTATTAAATAAAATTAATTTTAATTAAATAAATAACACAAAAAACGCGCATTCACGTAAACTTTATCCAAACATGTCCCCGCGCCAACCTAACGTCTAGAGTGGTGTTGTGTCTTGGTTTTGTCAAGTAATAATTGTATGGAGAGAAAAAAAAAATTCTTCAAATGAGAATTTTTTTTTTTGAAAAAAAAATCTTGTTATATATTTATATGTGTTGATTGTAAATTAAGAGAATAAATTTTCATGATAATATATATTATCATAATTCATAGAGAAGAAAATACATGTATTTTGAAAAAAATAATCATTTACCAAAGAGTCTCAAACCCTATCCTCTCTTTCTAAAACAAAATCCTCCATCCGAAGAAATTCTTTTACGAATGTCTGCGTGTGGTGCTCGTGTAATTTACTTTTATCAGTTTTATGTATTAGTTTTTTTTTTTTTTATGATAGCTTGGTTTTAATTAATATTTCCTTAAAATGGCATTAAGAGGTTTTAGAAAATTTTAA